GCTTTCACTACACAAGACACTCGAGGTTCAAAGCAGAGTACAGTACAAATCTGCAGCCGAGACTGGAGTAAACCCAACTGTTTTATTTCTGTTTTCTACACGGCACTCCCTGGTGGTGCTTAGAAAGCCTTCATACGCTCACCTTTTTTTATTTGCACGTAAACGTACATAGACGTTTCTGACAGCAGAGGGCAGTCAGTGTTGTATCAGCGCTGCGTATTTGTACTCCAAAGCTTTTAGAGTAACAGAGTGTTTTGTTGCTGCACTGATCCTCCCACCGGGACTGTGCCTTTTCCTGGAGAACACTTTTTCAACTCAGAGCTGCGCCGAGCGGCCGTGGGTCTTTAGTCAAACGCTGCAGTCACTTCCTCACAGGTGACGGCCACGATGCAGAGTTCCTGACCCATTTTGCGCCGCAGCATTAAGTTGGCCAGTGTGAGTGAAGTGACCCATTTGCCGGTTTAAAATATTGAGCCACAGAGGTCACTGCTTTGGTTTGGTGATGTAACAAGTTCAAAAATGACTGACTTAATGAAGACGTTTATCCTCAAGGCAGTGGGGCAGTGGTGGGTTAGTGGTTAAGGAAGCAGACTTGGGTCCAGAAGGCTTCAGGTTTGAGTCCACCAGCTGCCAAGTTACCGCTGAGCATGGCATCGTCCCCACCCACTGCTGTCCACTGTTCACTTTGGTGATGGGTTAAAAACAGAGGTGACTTTTGGTTGTGTGCAGTGGTGAGCTGTGTGTTCACCCTCCTTCACTTTCCTTCAAGGTTATGAGGAATAGAACAGGGAAAGTAAAGCACCAAAACTTTCCTGCACCTGATGCAGAGTTCTGAAGGTGAACTGGTAGAAGCAACAATCACCTCGTCAACCTACGTTGAAAAGGTTAGTTAATAATGTGTTGCTGACTCCTGTGGTCTCGGGGGAGGGGGGGGGCAGGGCACTCTTTAAATTGATTGATTTTACAACAAACTAAATATTAAATTGATACATACACCGAAACATGTTGGATCCTTATTTATTTGTCACCTCTGACCTTTTGTTCTGCACCACTTAGTTCTAACTCATCATACAAGTACCAAAATAACAGCAACTCAGATTTAATACATGACTCAAATAGATCTTTTTGACTCATTTTGACCAGATAAACATACGTCTCAGGTTCCGTGGCCTAAGGCCTCAGCTCAACCCGCTCCAAAGTCACTAAAACCTCCTTTTCAACGGGGTTTGAGTTGATTTAGGTAAAAAACCCCACCTGGGTTCATTTACATCCAATCTAAGGAAGTGTGAACACACCCTAGATCTAAATAACTGAGAGACCTCACGTCATGTTAATGCTGGTCTGAGAGCAGGTCAGGAATGACTCAGTTGATACAGTTTACATCAGTCTGCTCCTGCAACACCACAACAGGGACTCAACCGGGGTTTTTTGAGCACCATCAACATGAAGCCACCCTGATCTCATAAGACGTGCAGTCTTGAAAAATATTGCACAAGTGTTGAGTAAGATTGGACCCAGAGCTCAGAGCCGGTTTCATTCCACGTCTGTAAAAGTGAGCCGCAGACGGGAGCGGCGCTGATACATCTGACGTTACATCACAGCGGACAGGTATTGTGGTTGTCTCAATAGAGCTGAGGCTGATTAAATCTCTGCCACATCACACTAAGGTGTGTGATGCATTTACAGTTGCTCACACGCTCTTCTCTGAAGAGAGAAGAAAGGAACAAGAAAGAGAGACAGAAAGAAAGAAGCCAGAACACCTGTCGAATCAATACGGCGGCCCCGTTAATGGATTTCTTCATCTGTGCCGTGCACTAAAGAACTTGTGGGAGAGACAAACAAACAGACACAGTAGCAGAGAGAGGGAGGCTGAATGATGGGGAATACTAACAGGGAGAAGCAGACAGCCAGGGCCGATAAGCTGATAGAGAAGTGGAAGAAGAGAGTCCAGGATTTTACAGATATGGTCGTCTGGAGGGAGTCGATCGCTGCCCAGACACTGCATGCTTTTCTTCCTGCCGCCCTGCATTTAAAGCCTGATTGGCCAGCACACATTTGCATTAGAGTTAAGAAGAGCTTGGACAGACGGGGTCCTTGATGGGTCAGCCTCTGTCTATCTTTGATGCATCAGACAAAAAACCAACAGATTTGGAAACAAATGGATAAAATGAACTGTTTTTTGGATGAGATTCAATTTTTCAGAGTGTGATATCAAGAGAGACCGGCACAAAGTCAGAGTAGCGGCCAGGAACTGCTCACTCACACTCACAAAACATAGCTGCCAAGAAGAAAAACTGATTTAATCCACTCACAATGCAAAACGTCTCACCGACTCACCAACCAATAGAATTATTTAAGTCAATTAGACTTAAAAGGATAATATCCTTACAGCCAGTAAGTTAGTGCACTGTTATCTGGAAGATGAGGTTACAAATCAGGCACCTTTTTGAAGGCCTTCCAGTTGAGCACATAAAATATGCAAATTCCACAGACCGAACACAGAACCTCTGAACAATGAATCAATGTCACCAGATACAGTTCACACCTGTTCTACCAACATGTCTGACTGAAAGGTGAAGTTTGTTCATCTCTCAACCTCCAACCACAAAGTCCACAGAGAAAATCAATGGTTTTATGCAGCTCACTGGGTCAAACGAGCCGCGTCAGTTACTGTTACTGTGATGTTATGATAAACATGAAGCAGGAGTGGATTGAAAAGTCACGAGAAGATCAATGCACAACTACTGATTCTGCCAATGGAAATGTGTATGAAGAGATGAGTAGTTCACAATGTGAAGGACGATTGAACTGTTCACCTGCTACACTCCTAAAAACTCCAACAGGAATCAGTGAGTCAGTAGTTCTAGAAACACACAGAAACCAAAGTCCATGGGAAAAAAAAATCAATGACTTTGTGTCCAAACCTTGGCTGCACCAAGCAGTGTGTTCTAGAGAGAATTAAAATCACATGAGCTTTTTGTTCGATAGCTAAAAAGAGTGGTGTGGGGTTCAATTCCACATAGCTCCCAATCCCAGCTTGAGTTGCATCAAAAAAGCAGCTGTTGTGAAAAATCTGCCCAATTATTACTCTGGTGAGCCCTGGTGACGGGACAAGCTGAAAATCACTTTAAAGGTTAAGAAAGTAAAAAAAAAAAAATCAAAGTCTCAGCCTGGTCTGAAGCCAAACTCACAAGAAAACTGGGCTTTAAATAGCGTAAACTATCCCTTTATGTGTGAGTCCTTGGGTGTGGAAAATGATGTACAGCTGAAATGCATCACACAGTATACACACACACACTCAGATACCAGCTGGAGTTGCCCTATTTTATTAAAAGTCAAGCTCATTCAAGCAAAAATGGAATGGCCCCCCCCCCCCCAACATCCTCCACCCTCCCATTCACTGGTGCCATTTTTTGGGAGGATTATGGAACACTGCTGCAGCTCTGACAGACACAACTGTCGGGCAACAGATTTACATCCAAACCCATCTCCTCAGACGCTGCTCTGGGAAAATGTCATTTCACGTGGCGTCCCGGCTTAAACTGGAGCCGCAGCAGCGAGAGATAATCTGCTGGTTCTCCCCTTGACAGTGCCTCACCTAACCATCTCCTCCGATCCCTGTCGCCCCCTCACCTCCCCTCCCCTCCCCTCCCTCCCTCACCTCGTTGTCATCTGTGGCTCTTCACCTGCCTGTCAGGGTGATTTCAGGCTTGTTGCGTGGAGGCCTGACTCTGTGTGGCAAGACTGAAGCCGTAATTACAGCAGTCTCTGAATGGTGTGTTTTTATTCTCCCACCTCCCACTACCTATCACGCACAGCCCTAACCTCCCTTCCCCTCACCTCCCCTCCTCCCCTCCCCTCTCCCACTCTCAATGCTGACACGCAGCACTCAGACAACAGCCTGTGTAGAAAAATGTTAAACCCACAATTAAATTACAATCAGCATAACAAAGGCCGGGTGACATTTAAATCCACCCGTCGAGGAAGGATTAGGAGCAGAGAGCACTTCTTTTGGGACGCGTTATCTTCTAAACACGACAGAAAATGAGAATTAATGAAATCTCTCACACTCTCTGCCAGGGCTGTCTCTACCTCCGGGGAAAGTTAGCCTTTCTAGGAATTAAACAAAGATGTACGACCCGGAAGTACGAGCTAGAAACTGAAGGTGGCGCTTTGAATTCTCTTAAGCTGCCCTCCATGATACACTATTACAGGGAAAACTACCAAACCTTTAACTATGTACTTCATACTAGAACCTCTGAAATATTTTCAAAATCTTATTTTTATTGCTATGGTCATTTTGGATGCAAAAAAGAATCAATGACAGTATCCAGCCTCACCGACTGAAGTACCACCATGCTACCACATGGGGCACTACTGGTAGTATTGTATAAAATATTCAGCAGGGTGAGTGAAAGATGCTGTTGTTGTACATGCCAACCTCCTGCTGGCGCTACCCTTACATTACAGCATCCTATTAATATATATATATTTATTTATTACTGTAAAATCTAAAATGTTGTGTAATAATTTCCTATTGTCCAGACCTGTTTACAAAGTATTCAACCAAAGAACCACAAATCTTGCCACACGGGGCAGTAGTAGTACAACGGCGGTAAACCTCCAGCAAATCTGAGATGCTTCCAGAGTATTTGCCTTAAATTCTTCACAGAAAATGTGCCTTGACTCCTTAACTTGCTGCTCTAACGGCTCAAACGGAAAATAAAAATGTTGGCTTTTAAAAAGGAATTGATAAGACAGCAGAGAATTGTGGGAGATGTATAAATTTCAAGAAGACTGGCAGATGATCAGCAGAAACTCCACTTTGGTAGAAGAAGAAGAAAGCTGTCCGGCCGATGTTTTATGCATCAGTTACAGCGAAGGCTTTTACACGACTATGGCAGACATTCCTTCAGTAAATACTAGTCTGACAGGACTGAGTACACGATCAGACAGTTTGACCGGAGGAAAAACCAAGATAAAAGAAAAAAGAAACTTACTTCATGGGTTTGAAGAGAGCCTGGCCGTAATTCTGGAAGGTCATGATGAGCTTCAGCTGAGTTCCTCCAGACTTCATGGCTGCGAGAATGGAAACTTACGGTTAGACGGAAAATACAAAACAACATGTGATGCTGACCTTTTGACCTTTCGTTTTATCAACACGGACAGTAAACCCTGGGCTAGCTTTTTTACTATATTTTTTCATTTAGATTTTCCAGACACTTTGATGATTTCTTTTATGCTGCAGTTTAGCTGTTTTTGTTTGACCAAGGTTTAGCGTTTTCTTTTTTTTTTAAATTCAAATTTTAACTTTGGGCTAAAAATGTTAAATTTTCAACAAACTATTAGTTGTTATTTTTATGTAAATGAAGTCCCAGTTGTACTGCAGGCAGTTCTCATTTACCATCCTACAACAGTAGCTTTAATGAATTATTTAATGACATTTCACAGAGCTGTCAGGTCACTCCAGTTTGACTCCTACATCCATTCTATTGCCGTGTCACATACGTGTGTGTTGGTGGTTGTGTCTATTTTTGCGTAATAGCCTGATCGTCATCACCCTGCGTGCACGCTCTCTGAATGGACTCAGTGCTGATGTCATGCTGTTTGTTGTTTGTCTGACAGCAAAGGAGACTGAGTAGAAGGTGAAGGACGGCCAGCGTCTGTTTACTCCCTCTCTGTTTATTCTCTGGAGAGTCTGTTTCTCTGCCTCCTTCGCTCTCTTTTCACTTCATCCCTCTGTCCTTCATCTTCCCTCTTGTTTTTGAACATAATAATGTGCTCTTAGGGCCACTCACGGGAGCAGGCAGAGTTAAAAAAATCTGCCTGTTTTTTCCCCCCTTCCATCCATCGATTGGAAATGCTGTCACTGTGGCCTTTCTCCAAACAACAAGCTCCTGGATCAATTCTCTCATTTATTTTTACATACGAGAACAAGCCGCTCGTTTACAGAGAGAGAAAAAATTACAACAGGAAGAAGGGTCCATGTTCCTGTCACCTCACCTGCTGCCATGTGAACAAATTTAAAATTAAAACAAGCACTGGTTGAATCGTTAGCCGACTGTTGATATGGAGAATTGGATTGTTTGGCTTTGGAAGCAACTTATTTCTAATATAATTATAGAAAAAATATAAAATAAAAACATTACGCCTTTGGGAGTTATTAAAAATGTGTCTCCAACTTAGCAGTTGGAGACACAGACTGACTAAATATACCATCATTTTTAAACAGGCTAAAACCAGTTTAATCAAAAAGCTTTCAGCCCTGTTTTTTGACTGATTATAAGAAAACTACTTCTATGAACTGGGAGCCATCAGGGGGCGCTCACACCTCTGGCTGCTGAGAAAGAAAAAATACAGAACAACGACATTAAACCCTTTTCCACTGATCTGTGGAGACAATTATCATATTTGCCGCCGCACTAACTCTTCATCAGTGGAGGTTGCTCCGCAGAGGTTATAGAGCAGAAACAGGCTCACAGTTATAACCTTAACTTTAGATAATATGTGACTGCTGTTGGTTTCTGTTGGTATTCGGCCCCAGGCCTGTGTTAGGGCTCTGTAATTACTCAGCCACCACGTATTTATCTGGATGGAGAGACGCTAAGAGCTGCTTCCTCCATCCACCCAGGGCGAGAGGCAGGAAGGTTGGAGAAAGCCCTGGCTGCAGAAAAAAACAGGAGCTACTCTGACCAATCCTGCTCTCAGATGAGTTTTTAATCTTCACTTGAGGCCAGTTAGAGCACCGTGGTCTCTGGACCATTCTGAAATCTGCCATCTGCAAGGTGGGAGACTTGGAGTCCACGAGCACTCGTGGAATGTGTGTGTGTGTGTGTGTGTTTTGGAACAAAAAAGAAGAAATAAAAATCTGACATAAATATTGCACAACATTTCAGACTGGATTATCACATCTGTCAGGTTTACAGCTGAGACTTTTACAGCTTTCCTGTAAAAAAGCTGGATTTACTGCATCGTAAGAAAAGAGAAAAACCCTCTGCTTCTGATAAGGTTCCAAGTAGAGTACAGTAGCTGTGATTAGCATGGAGACCAGGTGTTTCCCCCAGACCTGATGGATGCTGCTCTGACACTTCACATTACATCAGAACTGATGCAGCTCTGCTGCACCATCACCTGCAGCCAACTCACATCTATCCATCCATCCATGCACTGAAAAGTCTTTGAATAAAAGGAGAAAAGTGAATTTTTCTGAATCTTTGGAAGTCATTTTTCTGGAATCTTGGGGGAAATACTCTTATTCTTCAACCTGGGAAATGACTTGAGAGATCCTTTTCCCCAAAGTCATTTAGTTTAATTATGTGTATTATTGACATTATTATTAGTTCATATATACACATTTTGCTAAGTTTCAGCTGCTTCTTTTGCTACGTTTGTGGCTAACATCTGTCCAGTTATGTGGCTAATTTTTGTTTTAGCCATTGGACATTTGATTTTTATCAAATTATTTTTAATTTGTTTGACATTTTACTGTCAATTTTCATTTGTATCTGCTAGCTTTGCCAACTCTTTTAGGCTAACTGTAAGAGGTTCCTAGGCTAACATTTAGCATTTATGGTCACATGGTCTGTTACAGACGCATCACAGACACGGCTACGCTCATTTACTGTAGACACTGGATACAATGTATTTACTTCACTTTCAGCCTCTTTTTTCCTCATGTTAAAGGCCTGTTGTCACTCTATATTTATTTGTGACCCTGCTTCTGCTTCAAACACACTCGTCTCTCTCTTCGCTCACTCTCGTCTCACTCCGAACTGTCACTTCTCTACCATAAGAACCATCGTAGCTCAAGGATCTCGATGGCTCGACACACTCTCCTATTGTTTTTTTTTTTTTTCCTGTGACTCACCCACGCTGGTGATCCTCTGGGTCACCAGGTCCTTCAGTAGGGCATCGATGACGGGATTGTGTCTGGAGTAGAGCTCGTATCGATTAATCCCAATGTGGAAGCGCAGCCAGTTAGGGTAGGATTCAGCCGTCAGCTCCCCCGTGGGGCCGAACTCATCCACGGTGCCTTCAGGATCCCTGGGCAAAAAGAGACAAAAGTGGAATAAACTTTATCATGTTTATCATGCGTGTGTGCACAGATGAACCCCACACTCATGACCTTTTGACCCCAAGCAGACAAAGCTGTTTTTCCTCTGTTTATTAAATCTGAACATTTTAATGATGAACGTTACATTTTTACCAAAGTATGTGAAGAATTTTATGCTGACGGATCAGCACAAAATGGCCAGAAATAGTCGTAAGGATGATATAAGAGAGGAAACTAAACAAGGGCAGATATTCAAAAATAAAAGCCCAAAAAAATAAATTCTTGTCAAGACCTTCCTTCAAGAAATATTGCAGGTGGGGTGGGATCGTTTGGCTCATTTTTGGAGTAAATAAATATGACTATGAGAATCCCAACATCCAGTCTGGAAATATTGGAAAATATTGCCTAAATATTTTCAAACCACTGCACGTCTAGTTCTACTGGTCTGCCGAGGTGCAGTTTCAACTGAAATAGTTGGTCGGAAATAATGGACACAGAACAGTGGACAAATGGCCACTTGTTTACATTTGAACGGCTGTGTTGCTGTTGTGGACCAACAACGTTGACTCCACACAAGATCAGCTGAATTTGGAGAAAATACAAAAATGCATTGGCACAAAGTCCACAGCACAGACAGGTTACTGCTGCTGCCTTATTATTGGCTGTGTGTGAATTGATCTGATTGACTTAGGTGAGAAAGAATATTGAAGTGAAACACACTGGAGACATTAACGTGTGTCCATGCTGTGGCCCACCTCAGGCCAAAGTGCAAAAACAATCCTTGTAAACTGCAAATGTGACATAAATGACAGATAGGAGATAGAAATATATTTCTAAAAAACCATGAAGAAAAATCAAGACTTTTAAGGAATTTAAAAATATCCCCAGAGCCCCTCATCTGGGTCACTAACCCGTCGTTTGCAATAAACACAGAATCTTGTTATTTTTAAAATGTTTTGGTAAAAAAAAAAACATATATTAAATGTGTCAGTGTCAATATACACAATATAACATTTCGTGTCTTGATTTGTTTTGTATTTGTGTATAGATTTGTCCTGGTCTGGTGGTGGTGAGAGTGTGGGGTTGGTCAGTGTTACCATGTCTGCTCCTCAGCTGCCTTGGGGTCAAATCTGATGTCGGTGTTGACGTTGAAGAGCGTGTCTTCATCAGTCAGTGGAGGTAAAAATCTCTTATACAGGGGATGCTCATACAGAGCCATCAACCTTGAACCTTTAACCATGCTCCTGCTCCCCGTGGAGTCCTGGATGAACTGCTTCTTATTCCTCTCCTGCTGCTGCTGCTGCTGCTGCTGCTGCTGATCCAGAACCAGCCTCCGGACACCCTGCGTCCTGTCTCCCATCACAGGGATCCTCTCCAGGGAGTGGGAGGACACGTTGGAGCTGGGCTCGTTGCTGAAATCCTGCAGGATCCTCAGGGTGTGCTTGTTGGGCCAGCCCTGTTTCCCCCAGCTCTGAGGCTCCTGGCTGGGCGTGTGGGCACAGGAGCAGCCTCCACCACCTCCTCCACCCCCTGTACCTCCTCCACCTCCCCCGCTCCTGATGCTTGCACCGCTACTGTGCCGCTCCAGCTTTGGGAGTAAGTCTATCATGATGTGCATGGAGCAGGCGACCAGGAACACCATGAGGATCAGGACCCGGAATTTACGCAGCAGAATCATCTTCATGGTCTCCCTCTTGAGCAGATGTGAGTACTTGCTGCAGATGATGAGCACGCAGATGAAGAGGCTGACTACATCGCTGACGATGTTGATCAGACTGGACGCCAGGCGGACGAAGTAGACGTTGAAGACGTAGGAGCCATCTTCACTGGCCGTCTTGAGTGAAGGATTCAGCGTTCGGCTGGTGTGGAGGCTGCGAGGGTTTCAGAAGGAGAAGGAGGAGAAAAAGACGCACAGAAAGGTCCGCAGAGTGTCCAGGTAAATCAAGTCGTGTTGCCTCAGATTTGCGCAACGAAGCCGCATTCTCCGCTGTGCTCTGCTCCTCCACTCCACCGCCAGGAATGTCTGTTAAAACATCCCAGAAAAGCCACCGCAGCGGACCGATCCATGAAACGTCTGCGTCCTGGAGGCTCTGGGAAGCGTGCGCAACTGTGCCAGAGTGCAGCCCGACCTCCAGGAGCAAGTCCAGGTATTTACCCTTAAAAGTTGTTGTGTAAAAGACGGGGGAGGTCCCTGAAAGTCAACCGTGCGCTGCTCTCCCCCACCTTCTAATCCCGATCCTGATCAAGACCCGGTGCGTAAGATTCTCTCCGACCTGATCCAGTTTAATCGGCCGCCGAGCGACGGGATCAGTAAACAAGAGGAAAAGAGGAGGCGCTCAGGCTCCAGGAGACCGCGATCCTCCTGCAGGAGAAGCAGCAGGAGTGCAGAGTGCAACGCTCCTCCTGTAACATGCGTGGATGTGAGAGGTGGGTGTGTTAAATACGATGGTACAGTTATGGAGCGGAGGACAGCCTGCCTCTGTGCAGCGTCACTGCGCCCTGATTGGCTCAGTGGGAAGAGTGAGAGAGCAAGGGAAAAAGAGAGAGAGGGACGGAGAGAGGTAGAAAGAGAGAAAGACAGAGGTAGAGAGAGAGAGACAGAGGTAGAGAGAGAGAGAGACATTTCTTCCCCTGCTGCACTTCCCATCCCTGCAGGTCGAGGTCGTCTTTTCCACTGTTTAACCATCATTTTCAGGGACAGGTGCACAACTAGAGAAATATGAAAGAGAAAGAAAATTGAAAAAAATAAAAATAAAACCACCAGTTAAAGCTAATGCCAATTTATCATCCTGTTAATTTATTCAATTATTCGTTTGAAATCTAAGTCATAAAAATATATTTAATGTGATAACCTTGCAAAACACTGCAGGATGAAAATACCTATATATTTGTAAGACCTTTTCTGGTTACAGCGTAGCAAAATAAATGCAACAGAAATTTAGTTTCATCACATAAGCACAAGGAAAACAGTACTGGTATCTAAACATACCTGTGAAAAATAACTTAGCATTTGCAAAGAAACATGAATAAAATGTTAAATTTATAAATAAATATAGATTTCTTTTTGTTGTTGTGTAGGTTTATAGTTTGTACATCATTATTTCATTAATGCATTCATTCAGACCTAAACTGATTTAATTTATTTACACTTGCATTAGATAATTTGCTGCTAAGAGACCTACGCTGAACATGTTAGATAAAGCTAATCATCCAAATCCCAACATTAACGCCGTATCACGAACAGCATCTTTAGACTAGTGAAGTCTGGAGATGCTGTTCATCATTCATCATTCATTTTAATACTTTAAACATTATATGCTAATGTATAATGTTTGTGTTATTGTTTTTTAATTTACAAACCCAGATATTTTATTTCTCTATACAAGAAGACCTAAAACTAATATTTTTTAAAAAATGAAGACATCAGCCAAATGTGTAGGTACCTGTGGAGAGAGTCAAGGAGAATGGTTATTGGTTTCCATCATACAGTTTGAACTGAAGTGTCATTAAGAGGAGAAAGACATGAATGAAAGGTCAAAGTGAATGACCTGAGGTCTCTCTGTTCCCCCTCCATGGTCAGCGTCAGGTGCCCCCCCCCAACAAACACACTCATACACAGTAATTGCTCTTCATCTGCTGGAATCCCTCTGAAACGTCTCCTCGGAGACGACAGCCGATCCATCGCTGATACATTAGACAGGCCTATTAGAGCGCTCATCAGTCTGAGGATCCAGTTGCATCCTGTGCCTCTGACGCTCGGCAGCAATCGCATCTTCAATAATGTTTAAGAGCCGCATGAAATGAAAACCACAGAGCAGCTCTCAGTGCTGAGCTCCTCACGGATCAGGAAAATAAGAGTGACGTCAGCCTCTCCTGGTGTAACCTACACAGAGGTCCATGTGGACCGTGGACCACGACACAGGAGACAAAGTGTGTGAGACGGTTAAAGATGGGTATCATGTCGGCACACAGACTTCTTAGCTTGTCTGAGATGCATGATTTCAAACATTTTAGTGCTGTAAACTATTTGCCCACAATGGCTTACTGTGTTTGTCAGTGGTTCTCAAAGTGTGGGGCGGGGGGCCTGAGAACAGCAGTTCTGTAGGAAGTTTGAAATAAACTTCATTGGAGTTTTGAAGCCAAAGCTGTGACAACTGAATGAGAATTTGTTACCACTGCAGGTGAAGGTGTGTGTGGCCCATGTCTGGTTTTTACAGCAGCCTGGACATTCACTGAATAGCTGAAATAAGACAGGTGTCACACATCTGTCCAGGAGGGGGAGGGGCCACGGCAGGATCGCATGTAAACAATGGAGGAAACTTCCACGGCAGACACTGTTGGTGGAGCTAAGACGATTAAAGTGACACTTTTGTTGCAGTTTAATCATTTTAATCAGGGCTGCTGATGAAATCTGAGAAGCTTAGAAACTGTCATCTTAAAATAGGAATAACTCTTTGAGTGGAAACACAACTGGTTCCTGGTGAGGTCACAGCTAGTTCTCAGCCAAGTCATGGCTTTAACAAATTCTCATGGGCCTCACACGACCGCAATCACACAGCCATCCCTTTAAAGTGGTTCTATCCCATTCTACGGAGGATACGTGCAGCAGTCAGTAGCATGCTGTCTGTAATTACCACTGTAGATGAGTTCATAATTAAAAAGAGCACAGCCAGAGAAACACAGAGAGGGTGGAGGAGGACGTGATGGTGGTGATGGTGTCTTCTTCTTCTAGCGCCGTGAAGATGCAGCTCATTTACAGGAGGGAAAAAAGGAGCTGCAGGGAAAAACAAGAGCGAGGAGTCATTTCCAGGGATACATGAACATCCCGGCCCTCGCCTTAGAATTCAGATTAGAAATGTTCAGAGTTGTTGGTTTCAGGGACGTCATCAGTGCATGTCCACACCTGCTCTAACTGAAGACGTGAGTGAAAATACAGCAGGCTGTTTGTGAAGTGACTGGTGTCTCCCAGGAAGCAGCGTCAGGTGTCAGCTCCATTGTTGTCAGACAGAGAGGAGAGTTGTACAGAACAACAAAACAGAAGAATCACTGACCGTTCACACTGTGCAACCTATTTAACTGGAGCTAATTCACAAAGAGAGGGAGCGGGGGTGGGGGGGCATGGGGGGCTCCTCCAGTGTCATGTACAGCAGCAGTGAAGCTTGTTGCCCTGACCTCAGTGTCCAGACTTCAGTGAAGCCGCTGCAGCCCGTGGCCCAGTGGCCTGGGGTGAGAGGAGCAGAGATGAATGTGTATTGATGTCAGTCAGACATGGATCACAGCAGTCAATGGGTCAATGGCTCCTCACACAGGGCTCTGTGTCTTTGTGCTGCTCAGTAGAGCTCAGTGAGAGCAGCCCTGATTGTTTCCCTCTCACTGTTCTGTCAATAGGTCCTTTTTTTTTCTCATTTCAGAACCTGTCAAATGCCATTAGAGCCCCAGACGTCATAACTGGACTGGACTGGAGGGAGATGACAATTTGGAAATTAATAATGTCATTCTGTCACTAATGTAATGACAAAGCTGAGCCAATGAAAACAAGAAAACTACAGAGAAGGGAAACTAGGGTCCAGGGAACTTTGTGTTTCTTTCTCAAATGATAGGAAAATAATTATAAAGTAAGTTTCTTGGCAAGTTTGGAGCAAATTATGGCACTTTTTAAATCATTTTTTGTTGAACTTCTTATTAGTTTCAATAAGAACTTGTGCTTGGTTTGGATAAAGTTAGCATTTCTCTATGATATTGGTTTAGCAAGGGAAACTATTGACTGGCTTGAAGTATTACAGTATGTACAGACTGTCATTTTTTTCTTAGGCCAGAAAAGTGTGTTTTTGAAAATCTGAGTAAACCGCGGTGTCTGATTTCTTCCTCTCAGTTGGAACGAGGCCCCGGAGCTACAGCCTGTGTCACATTTCCTCTTCTTTGTCTTGGATTTTTTAATACAGGAGTCGGATAACTGAATGACCGAGAGAACGCCCCCACCCACCCTACCCACCCCCACATACCATGTGACAAGAGCATTCAAAACCCTTAGACCTGGTACAGACAAGATCAAGAGGAGGAGGACATAAGCGTCCTAACAGATAGCTGACTACAGCACAGGTCGTAAATACATAAGATTTATGTCCTCTACACTTCACAGTGTCTCTGGGCGAGATAACAGAGGAAGGGGGAGCAGCCAGATAGCACTATCCCCTGTTTCTATCAGCAGTATCAGAGTGAAGGCTCAGCTTCACTCCTGTGTAAAGCCAGTCAGGACGGAGAGATGATTCAAGTTCAAAAGAGTCCAGGGGAAAAAAGAAAGGAGATGACATTTCTATTTATTTTGTTCCTGCACCTGAACGCACACGCATTCTGTGTAGACGGAGGGATTTGTGTGTGTGGAATGTGAGAAAACTAGTTTTCTCACATTCCACCGATTCGGGGGAAAGGACACAAGCAGCGCTCAATCAAAAAGCTCTTTGTGAGAAAGACACCAGTCGTGGACGCAGTCAGAAACCTAAGAACGCCGAGGTACATTTTTCTGACATTATGTGAGTCAGGGTCAGGATCAGGAGGTGGTGGGTTCGAATCAGTGAGAGGAGGAGGGAGAAGAAGAAGAGGGAGAAGAAGAAAAATATAAAAAGAAGAGGGTAGAAAAATCAAACAACAGAGAGAAGAGGAATTAAACAGGAAGAAGATTTTGCATTTACCAAATCAATCTGCAGCACAGTGATTTTGTTGTTTCTGTTTCCAGGTGTAGAACCCAGTCAGCAGTATGACCTCAGTTTCATCTCCTTCTACCACCCTTCAATGCTCTTCATTTCTCTTTCTCTCTGTATTGTCTGAGTTAATTCATTTGTCTGCCTTTGCCCTTGGCCCGAGCAGAGCTGAGTGGAGGAACAAGACTCATTTCCATCCCTGAGCAGCGCCGCACTCCACCCATCTGATACAGCACATCTGAATGGATATTACAGATAACTCTGCTCTCTGTTGGCCCCAATAAACCTCACAGCTCTCTCTGAGGGGACTGCTCCTCTTTAACCCTCCTCCTCCTCCTCCTCCTCTTCCTGATCCTCATCGCCCTGCTGCTGTTCCTCCTCTCAACCTCCTCGCCATCTACATTTACTGCTGCCGTCACACAGATACAGGAGGTGGGTTCTAGACCTTGAAACACAAGACACAAGAATTGTAAGCTAATGTTAGCCTGATGTCAAAGCTTGGCTTTTCTATGGCTAGAAGAATCTGAAGGTCATTCTGAATTTGTCAGTGTGACCAAGAGTGTGTTATTGATACCAGATATTGACCACAGAACATAATGGGTTTCTCAATAGGTCAGAAAAAATGAGACAAATTTAGACAGAAATGTTAGGATTTCCCTCTGGTTCTTTCCTCCAGTTACATTCTGACCTGCTATAATCAAACCATCTGCTGTTTTGATTTAAAAGTCAAGAAGAGAACAACCATGGTCAGGTGAGACCCAGAACTGTTGGGTCTCTGGTTCCCTGTCTGGTTCCCTGTCCCACTGCTGCTCCAGAAACTCTTTAGAACACGTTTGTTTTCATTGGTTTATTGTGTAACGTCTGGAGGAACGAACGAACAATACGAGCCTTTGGTTTGTTCAGTTATCAATCGACCGTCAGCACAAAGAGACGACACTCGGCTTCACAGAGGGAGAGAGAGAGAGAGAGAGAGAGAGAGGGAGGGAGGGAGAGAGAGAGAGAGATTCATTTTCTCTCCTTTGTCATCATCACTTTGTTTTCACCTACAGATGGTTGAAGCTGTTGACAGAAATATTTGCCTGATTGTTTTGTTGCCGTGCAACGTTCATAAACAAATGTATTG